TTGGCATAATGGAAACTGCTCCTCATTTTTTTGTGTACTCAGAAAGTAACATCTCAAAAAAAGTGGAAGATTTCAATCAGATACGGCAGAGCTTGTTGACGAGGATGATAAGTGAAGCTGTAGCTCCCGGTTCTAAAAAATATGCCACTGGAGAAGTGGCAGTTTCAGATATTGTAACATTATATGGACTTGTTCAGTGCACTCCTGACTTGACTGAATCTCAATGCAATGATTGTCTCCTTCACGCTAATAAACTTATGCCAAACTGTTGTAATACAAGTCAAGGAGGAAGAGTTATTACCCCAAGCTTTAGTTTCAGATACGGGACAAACAAATTCTACAAATCTTCAACTGAAGGACCTCCAGTCTCCTTTCCTCCACCATCAACCAACACCACAACTCACAAAGATATAACTATATTTATGAGTTATCTTTACAACTTAAAATTTTTTTGAATAGGTTTTCAAGATCAAAGTTCCCCTGAGTAGGCTTAAACAATTTGTAAGATTCTAAAGCTTCAATAAAGTTACTTCACTGTCTTCAGTAGTTAATGATATCTAACTTTGGCTACTCAACAAGTTTTAATCTCAACAAAAATCTTGGATTCTGCAGGAAAGAACATTTATCTTATCATCATTATTGTGGTTGTTACTTCTGTGATACTACACATAGGCATCGTCATCTTTTTAAGATGGAGGAAATCGGAGGAAGATGAAAGTAAGTTAATTTTGCTTTTTTACTATTTATTCAGAAGACTTATGCTCTTTTCTGATTTAATGGAAGTTAGTTTCTTGAGCTTGAGTAATATACCTCCGAAAATCTGGTGGGAGTAACTCCCGAATACTGATTTCAGATCAGATGTTTGAGCATGTAAATATAAAGTATTCGGCTAATATAAGTAGCTCATGAGTTGCCATTCACGTCACTTTCTAAGACTAAACTCTTGTTGTTTTGTTGTTGCTTACTTCTTGATCACATAAAAATGTGGAAGAAATTAAAGAAACAGAGTCCTTAGAGTTCGATTTTGGCACCATCAGGACTGCCACAAATAACTTCTCTGATGACAATAAGCTTGGACAGGGTGGATTTGGTGCGGTATACAAGGTAAGAAATTTCAAAGTAAAAAGGTGTTAAATTCAAACCTTAGATATGCCAAAAACTTTGGAGGCAAGCTTTCACATTCTCTCGATATGCCAGGGCATGCTATCCAACGGACAACAAGTGGCTGTAAAGAGACTATCTACGAATTCTAAACAAGGAGAAGTAGAATTTAAGAATGAGGTCCTACTAGTTGCCAAGCTTCAGCATAGAAATTTGGTAAGGTTACTAGGCTTTTGCTTGGGACGAAAAGAAAGGATTCTCGTCTACGAATTTGTGCCTAATTCAAGTCTCGATCACTTCATATTCGGTATGGTTGCACTCATGATCTCATTTAGGAAGCATGCCTAACAAAGATTACCTTAAAATACTCTGTAATTTACTGAAACATCTCAATGTTTATAGCGATCTCATGCATCTGGATGTATAAACATATTGTATATATGATTATGATGAAAGCTTGAACTAGCTATTCTAGCTTCGTTTACCTGCTTTTTCTAGGTATTCTTTTTTTCAAATTCAAATCCTATTATGTTACAAATTGTAGATCCGGTCAACCGTAAACATATGGACTAGAAAAGACGTTACAAGATCATAGAAGGCATTTCCTGAGGACCACTTTATCTTCATGAAGACTCTATACTTCGGATTATCCACCGTGATCTAAAAGCAAGTAACATTTTATTAGATTCAGACATGAATCCTAAAATTTCAGATTTTGGCATGGCAAAATTGTTTGAAATGGATCAAAGTCAAAGTGATACAAGTCGAGCCGTAGGGACTTTGTAAGTATAAGAACAAGGATACAAAAATGAATACCACTATCATTTAATAACTGCAAATTTTTTATTTTCCTGATGATTATATGTAGTGGATATATGGCTCCAGAGTATGTAAAGCATGGAAGGTGTTCAGTTAAGTCAGATGTATACAGCTTTGGTGTTTTAATTGTAGAAATCGTAACTGGTCAAAAGAGAAGTGGTTTTGGAAGCAATGAGGAATCAGAGGACCTTGTAACCTATGTAAGTCAAAAAATACTATTGCTCTATTTCACTTTGAACAAGAACTGTGCAAAATATGAAGTTTGTGAATTTTGTTATCATTTTACAGGCATGGAAAAGTTGGAATGAAGGATCAATCTTTAATTTAACAGATCCTACTATAAGGGATGGTTCAACAACAGAAATGATGAAATGCATCCACATTGCGTTATTAGGTGTTCAGGAAACTGTATCTGACAGACCAAGCATGGGTTCAGTAGTTTTCATGCTTAACAACGACTTTGTCAATCTCCCAGCGCCTTCAAAGCCTGGATTCTGTATGCAGAGTGTAACAGAACCAGAGACTGACATCATCATCTATAGAGCATAATGGGTCAACTAACTTAGATCGACATAGAATTCAAGTTGTCCCACTATCACATAATGATGTTTCAATCACCGAGCTATATCCTAGATAGTGTGAGTGATGGAGAAATAATTATTGAGAATTTTTTTGTGTTTATCTGTATCACGACTCTGGTCTGTTATGTTATTTCGAGTCTAAATTTTACACTCTGCTCCGATATGTGTTGATTATAAACCAAAACGGAGTTATTCTCAATTAGAGATTTTATCAATGGACATTTCCGATAAGCATTTTCAATGGCTTTAGTGGACCCAGATATATAAATGAAAGGAAAATAAACAAGCAAATAAAAATAAATTAAATCTAACACACCCAAACAACCCACGCCCTATGCCTTCGTATTTCTTGTTGAGTTCAATTTTGGAGTCCATCCATGAAATTGAAGAGCAAATCATCCTCACTCATGTCCACCAGACGTTTTGTATTATTAGAATCCGAGTTTTCCAAGAGAATTTCATAAAAACCATCACCTGTACAAATTTCAGAATACTCCAAAACTTCCCTAAAAGTTTCGAAAAGAGGAAGAGGAATCTGGATACATGAGAAGGGATTGAAAAGAAAAGGATTGACCTTTTGATCTAAGAGAATGAGTCATCGGTGAGATGATCCAATGCGACGCCGCTTGCCAAAGTTCTCCGCCACACTATTTTTTTTGTACGTAAAACTCATTCTTATCGACACAAAAGAAACGGCAACCGTCTATATCTGCACCTTCTTCTGGTTTTGAAGGGAGTATGAGCCAAGGAGCCAAGCTATACTGGGATGATATAATATGTTGTTTCACGATGGGATGCCAATAAGAACAGACGGTGCTTAAACGGAGTAAATCAAGGTGAGTCAACCGCTGTAGGATTAAAAGCAAAATATCATCTGGAAGTTGAGACCAATCTGGTGATGATGATAATGTTTTTGAAGTTAATGGCAAAAGTTGCTGCACTTAGTAGTCAACATTTCGAGTTTTGGTAGTTCTCCGATTCCTTCAAGAACTAAAATCTTTTAAGAAGTTGGGACAATTTCCAGAGGTAATGAAAGAGACAAACTGAAATCACCAAGGTGCAGTGCGGGAAACTTAAGCAGTTGCACTAATTCTCAAGTTCCTCATAGGTAACATTTTATGTGTAAGTAAATAAAATCATTTGCTCAGAGAAACGAAATTTAATATGTCATACACTAGACAATACAAATTACTTTATTCCATTCGAAATGTATATTGGAAGTTCAAAACAAGAGCCAAAATCTTAATTTGATGCCATAAAATTGTCCTCATGGCAGTGCAGATTTTAAGGATTTTGTGAAATTTTCAAGCTCTTTCATTCCTTCCTCTGGAGATTTCGCTTCTCCCAGTAGCTTCACCATTGCACTCCCAACGATCACGCCGTCAGCTCCCCACGCCGCCAACTGGAGCAACATTTCATATTTGAATAACACATACATGGAGGCATTAACAAGCAATTATTTAAGCATTGAGGTTTATGCTTCGACACTTACTTGTTTCACATGCTCGGGCTTCGATATGCNTTGATTATAAACCAAAACGGAGTTATTCTCAATTAGAGATTTTATCAATGGACATTTCCGATAAGCATTTTCAATGGCTTTAGTGGACCCAGATATATAAATGAAAGGAAAATAAACAAGCAAATAAAAATAAATTAAATCTAACACACCCAAACAACCCATGCCCTATGCCTTCGTATTTCTTGTTGAGTTCAATTTTGGAGTCCATCCATGAAATTGAAGAGCAAATCATCCTCACTCATGTCCACCAGACGTTTTGTATTATTAGAATCCGAGTTTTCCAAGAGAATTTCATAAAAACCATCACCTGTACAAATTTCAGAATACTCCAAAACTTCCCTAAAAGTTTCGAAAAGAGGAAGAGGAATCTGGATACATGAGAAGGGATTGAAAAGAAAAGGATTGACCTTTTGATCTAAGAGAATGAGCCATCGGTGAGATGATCCAATGCGACGCCGCTTGCCAAAGTTCTCAGCCACACTATTTTTTTTGTACGTAAAACTCATTCTTATCGACACAAAAGAAACGGCAACCGTCTATATCTGCACCTTCTTCTGGTTTTGAAGGGAGTATGAGCCAAGGAGCCAAGCTATACTGGGATGATATAATATGTTGTTTCACGATGGGATGCCAATAAGAACAGACGGTGCTTAAACGGAGTAAATCTAGGTGAGTCAACCGCTGTAGGATTAAAAGCAAAATATCATCTGGAAGTTGAGACCAATCTGGTGATGATGATAATGTTTTTGAAGTTAATGGCAAAAGTTGCTGCACTTAGTAGTCAACATTTCGAGTTTTGGTAGTTCTCCGATTCCTTCAAGAACTAAAATCTTTTAAGAAGTTGGGACAATTTCCAGAGGTAATGAAAGAGACAAACTGAAATCACCAAGGTGCAGTGCGGGAAACTTAAGCAGTTGCACTAATTCTCAAGTTCCTCATAGGTAACATTTTATGTGTAAGTAAATAAAATCATTTGCTCAGAGAAACGAAATTTAATATGTCATACACTAGACAATACAAATTACTTTATTCCATTCGAAATGTATATTGGAAGTTCAAAACAAGAGCCAAAATCTTAATTTGATGCCATAAAATTGTCCTCATGGCAGTGCAGATTTTAAGGATTTTGTGAAATTTTCAAGCTCTTTCAGTCCTTCCTCTGGAGATTTCGCTTCGCCCAGTAGCTTCACCATTGCACTCCCAACGATCACGCCGTCAGCTCCCCACGCCGCCAACTGGAGCAACATTTCATATTTGAATAACACATACATGGAGGCATTAACAAGCAATTATTTAAGCATTGAGGTTTATGCTTCGACACTTACTTGTTTCACATGCTCGGGCTTCGATATGCCGAAGCCAACTGCTACTGGTATAGTTGATGCCTATGATAGAGAAGTAAAACAAGTATATAACTTAAGCAATAAGCTGATTACAGGAGGCAAATTTTTGCTTGGAAAATGAAAATCATTTTTAAATCATTAAGCACCCTGATTCAAACGAACATAATGTCCTTGGACCCATGAAACATGTGACCAATCACAAAGAAGAGAGCTTTTTGTGAGAATTCAAAATGTAGTTCTGGTTTTGATGAGAGTGACAGCATATATACATTAATGGAACAGGGTAGACAATCAATCGACTATTTGGAATGCTAGACATGGCTGTGATACAACAACCAACAAGAGAACGCATTTACAGAAACAAACCTCTTTGATTTCTTGGATAAGATTTTGAACTCTGTCACTGACAGATGCTCGTGCCCCCGTAACTCCAACTGAGCTTACCTATCATTCCAGCAAAATATAATAAGGATGTTAAAATATTATCACAAGTTTATCTTTCCTGGAAACAAAATTCAACATGGATCAGTGGAAATTAAAAGAACATGATAAAGAAATTGAACTTCAGAAAGAAAAGATCTTACAAGATAGATAAATCCCTCTGATACTTCAACAATGGATTTCATTCGATCTCTTGGAGTAGTGGGAGTTGTAAGTAGAACCTAACGACAGCATCAGAGAAAATAGAAATGATGCACTGCACATTTATGATGAATAGAGTAAAGCATGGTTTAGCCAAGAATACAAGGTTTAGAAGAATTAACATGGCGTCACATATACCAGTTATTATGATGTTATTCATGTGAGAGTTCAATTTGTTCCATAATTATGCCTTAGAAGTGTTGAAACCAGCTTACAGAATATTACAAACAATGTCCCATGGCCCGAAATCAGTAAACATAAGCATTGAGACAGATATTCCAGCAACAAATAAGCTTAATGAACCAATATAATCCACTGTACCCTCCAATCAAAATTAAACAAATAAATTATATTTCAAAAAACTTATTATGCATCCATCTTATTATGAAAGCATCATGCTGGAAATGCTTCATCCATAAATCAAAACGCAAGAAAAATAATATCTATTAGTAGACATACCAGCTCAATATTATGTTTAATGGCTTCCTTCCTTAAAGATTCAGTCTCCTCTAGAGGGACATCTGGAACCACAAGCCCTGCAAACAAGTTTGGAATCATTGACATTAGTCCCACTAAATCAACTTCCCCTATTTGTGTAAGTAGATGAGAGAAACAATAACCGACATTAACAATAATTGAGCCAAAAACCATTCTGATAAGATGTCAGAGTTATAGGATCCACCAAACTGACTGAACAAACTCCCTGGAACAAGTCTATTCATTCCAAATCTTTATGAAGCCATTATATGGGCACAATTTTTCCATTAAACAGGAATGGATGGACTCTCTTGCGTTGTGGTGGCAGTCAAATTTCAAGATGCAGGCATACATGCATTTTTCCGCATTACAAAGAGTGTTTCATTACAATAGAAACATAAACCATATGAATTATTCAAAAATCAGAGTTGATTTTCTTTATAAAAAGAAAATATCAATGAATTTCTAATAAGTATTTCCGAACTAATTTGACTGAAATTGGTCAATGTATTGGTAGTTAAACCCCATGCCTCACTTCATGATATCTAAGAGTTGATTAATACAAAAAGTTTGACAAATAGATCTGATAACATCAGACTTGAAATTTATAAGCTGGTGGAAAAGTCAATACATTACCGTGCACACCAATATCGCTTATGGTGGACATAACCTTCTCCACTCCACGCCTAAGAATTGGGTTGTAATAAGTAAACAACGCAATTGGACAAGATAATTGCGGAACCACCTGCCCAGTTAACAGTTAACTCAAGGATGAAAACATTTTACTCAAAAAATGAGAAATGCTCAACAGAGAATGGAACAAGTATAAGAAAGTGTCCATCTTCAAGTTCAAGAGATATAATGCTACTATAAGGAATATAAATTTGAATATAATGCTACTATAAGGAATATAAACTTTTCAAACCACAAGCAAAGAAGTAGTTTACCCTGTTAAAAAGAATGTAATGCAGTCAAAATACAGCATCTAATAAAACACAGTAGATGTGCCAAAATGGTACATCCGAATTACGAAAAATATAAGCCTGACATTCTGAGATAGGCAGGTAGTCTGGGATCACATTATGCTCTTACCTCCTTCAACATAGAAATAATGGCATTGAAGTTGGTCCCTCTTGCCAAGGAACGTGTTGCTGCAGCCTAAACAATTTTTTTAACAATATGATTAAAAAAGTGATTAAGAAAAGCAAAAAGAAAAGACAATGTAGCGTTCCCAAACCTGGATGACTGGACCATCTGCCAAAGGATCAGAATATGGAACACCCAATTCAATTATGTCTGATCCACAGGAATCAAGCACCTTCAATGCTTCCGCAGTGGTTGAAAGATCAGGATCACCAGCTGTGATGTATGGAATAAGGGCCACCTTCATATAGAATCAAGATATATTATGGAAAAACCGGCAGCTTCACACAGAATCAAGATAATCATCATATAATTTTTATGAGGTCACAGGAAACTTTGGGAAAAACCATAAAAAGCCATATCCATATAGAACTCACACATAAATTTAGGTAAAAATAAACATATTGATAGATCCATTATAGGATTAAAACGCTTTTCACTACTTGGAATTTAGAAAGATAATCACATTAAAGGACATTGGCATTTTTGTTAATATTTTCAAAAGCATAGTAATTATGTTTAAGCATATTCTAGAAACTCTACAACCCCATTTTATTTTTGAGAAATAATCTTATTAAATTCTGGTCTTAATGAGTCTTTTTAAATGTCTCAACTGCTGGTGATACAAAAACTCACTAGACACAAGAAGTACAAAGTTGTCAGCAACTTGGCCAAATTCACACAATCCTTCTCAAACTCACAACTTGTTGCCTTAGACAACAACATTACTGGTAAAAAACGGTGCAATGAGAGGCCATGCATAATGATTTAACCACAGGCCTGCAACTCAAATTGTGTATTTAATCAGAAAAAAAAAAAAAAAATGTTTAGCACCAGTAAAATTACAACAAAAACACAAACACAACATTCAGAAGATTGTCACAAAGTCATCATTTTTAAAATGTAAAATGCATTATCAACTACTAATAATGCTTTGAAAAATAAAACGAAGAGCATCAAAAGAGTAACCATTTCAAATAACATCAAACAAAAATCCAAAACACACTAAAGTCAACCCACCGGAGTTACATTACAGGCAATCGATCTTACAGAAACAACCCATAAAAAAATACAAAATACCCAGTTAAAAGAGCCAAAAGTAGAAGCAAAAAATAGAACTTACTTTGCCTTGTTGTTTCAATCTAGAGAAAGTTTCAGCAAGACCAACAGAGGAAGAAACGGCGAGAGAAGCCATGGGAGCGAATCTTTTAGCGGAAAGTGAAACAGTGTGAGAGGTAAAGCGGGGGAAAGAATGGGAACCAGATGTCTTTAATTGAAAGAAAGTGGAAGGTGCCTTTAGAGCAGCAGCCATTTGAGCGTTTTGCGATGAGAATTTGGGTGTGACATCAAGGGCGAAAGCTGTGGGTTTAAGTAGTCACCCGCATTAAGAAGCTGCCATTTTAAAGGTTTTAAAAATAGCACATTTTTGGTATATTTGCGTTTCTTGTTTCATTTGAGTTAATATCGTTTACTCGTATTCTGACAGGTAACATTTTAGTCCAGAAGTTTTGAAAATAGTGATATTTACCTCTTTATTGCCTGTTATCATTACAATAAAACAAAAAATAAAAAGATTAATTGCCAATTTATGCCTTTTGTTAGGGTATTATATTTTGATAAATTGGTGAGATAAGGAAGATGAATGATGATAGATAACACTTATACATGGATTATTAATTTTGCCTTTCATTGGTTAGTTTTCATTTTCAATGTAACATGCGGAGTTAAATGTCACTATTCCAAAAGTTTTGGATTAAGAGGAGTTAAGACTTTTACCAGACCTTAGTGGCTAAAATCATGCAACGGACCATCCAAATCCTTAACGATTGTGACCTCAAAATCCATCACCTTTTCTGTTACTAAAAATTCTATCTTAGGTAAAACAAGTAATTGGGAATATATGTTGATCATCCTCATAACCATAAGCTCTTTTAAATAAACAAAATTTTGTTTGGTAAATCATTTTATGAAATGAAATAACCAGTAAATGGACCCATCTCAAAGGAATTAACTAGTAATGGGCTTGGAACGAGTAGGTCCAAAGATCAGCCCATGGAGGCCCAAGAGATACCTGCATCGATGCGAGGTTTTGTAGCGGGCCGAAATCCGCAATCAAATCCAAATCCAAGTGGTTTCTGGACCTGCGGGCCTTTGGTTAAGTTGAGATGGGCCGTGACGGTGGCCATTTAAAATCTCGCATTAGCTGGCTTGATGATGATTTGTGAACAAATTTACACGTATTGTCAATTATTGAGGCTAAATTTGTATGCTAATGAATGTATTTTATTGAAAAGAATATATTTTTTCTTAACTTGTTACGCTGAGTATCCTATCCTATGTTATCTACACAACATTAAATCAAAACACAATCCCAAATCCAAAGACAAAATCAGGTTTGTGATTCGAGACTCATGATCTGCTAGAATTTTCAGTTGAAAATGTTTGGACACTGAAAAAATGAAAGAAATTTAGAACTCTTAGAAAAATAAATTGGCTCGTTTTTTGATCAATTTCATAATATAGGTCCTCCTTTTATAATCACACAAATTATAAAATTTTATTACTTATATATATATTTTTTGGTAATCGGGGTGTCGGGGTTAGCTTACGTGCATATCAACTAGTCATTGGTCCATTGAACACCTTACAAACTCAAAGAACCATGTAAGTCACAATATTAATATTATAGGTGGCTCCTTTTATAATCACACAAATTAGAAAACTTTATTATATATATATATATTGGTAATCAGTGGTGTCCGGATTAGTTTGCCTGCATCTCAACTAGTCTCTGGGGTCTATTGAACACCCTACAAGCCTAAATGATCATGTAAGCCACAATGTTATTATGATAAGTGACCTCAAGATTTAAACCCAGAAACTCAAGAAATTGAACACACCTCTTTGATCGTCAAGCCAATCCCTTTGGATTTTATATTTTTTAAATTAGAATATTGAGAAAATATAGGCTTCGTTTGGCTCAAGTTTGGGAATACTACTTTTAGTCTTCCCAATAAAGTTAAGCAGTAAAATGCCCAAAAACTTACAATATTATTCAATATTATTCAACTTTTTTTAAATCCCTTAAATTTGTTAATTTAATTAAATACCTCTAAATATGTTTTTTCGAAATTGTAAAAACACCCCTAAACCCACATTATACCAGATTCTGGCCACCACTGCCGGAAGTTGGCCGGAATCTGGTAGGATGGCACACTACCGGCTGGATCTTGCCGGTAGTGCGCCGATCTAGCCTTTTCCGGCCAGATCCACGGTGGATCTGGCTGAAAAAGGCCAGATCTTTGACCATAACCAGTCGTCAACGACGACCAACATATGGTCGTCATTGACCATCAACGACGACCGTATCTTTGGTCGTCGTTGACGAAGATCTACGGTCAGATCTGGCCTTGCTGGCCAGATCCATCGTGGATCTAGCCGGAAAAGGTCATATCGGCATACGACCGGCAAGATCTAGCCGGTCATGCGCCGATACGGTGACTTCGGCCACTCTCCGGCGGTGGTGGCCGGCTATCCGTATTTGATAGGTGGGTTGAAGGTGTTTTTGTTAACTTTTAATGTTTTATTATAGGGGTGTTTTGTAAAAAACAAACACAGGAGGTATTTTATTAGTTTGTAAATCTTACATCGTAATACCCGCCCAATTCAACTTTTTTTTAACTTTTTCCAAAAACGTAAAAATGTGAACCAAACGGATAATTTCTAAACCTTTTTAGCTACTACTTTGACTTGAAGAAAACAATTACGTAATGAAGTTGTTTATGTATAAATTTGAGTATGTTACGTTATAATGTAGTAAAGTTCAAACGTGGAAATTCTAGTACTAGTTTCGTTAGTGGAAGTGGAATTAAACCGTTCTATTCTCACAAATGCTAAATCAACTTGCACCGGAAGGGAAACCACTCCAATCGTACAAAATACTTGTATACTTAAAATATACAATTAGAGTGGTGTTATTTGAGCCCCGTTTTAAATAAAATTTGTTAAAAACTTAAAATTATATATATATCATATTTTATTCCATAATTATTCATTCTATTAACTTTTACAATAAGCATATGAATTTAGTGGCATCAATTTGTGCTTGATCCATATGTTTTTGAAGGATTGAAAACAAGTTTTTAAAAAAGTGATAAAAATTTGAAGATGAGGGATAATTTTGGAATAGGAAAGGAGATATTTTATAAATTTAACTTGAAATGGGGCGTGCTAAGAGTTTAAATGGGGCTCAAATAACGTTACTCTAATTAAAATAATAATAATAAAAAAAAAAACATTACATAAAGTTTATACATGGTTCCATTTGGTTATATATACATATATATGTTTTTTTTTTTTTTACCGGGGTATCCAGGCCAACTTACGCGCATCTTAACTAATCTTCTGGGCCTAGTGAATACCCGATAAACCCAATATATTAGATAAACCACAAATTTAATTTGTGTTTAATGATCCTAAGGTTTAAACCCAATAAATCAATAAAGCGAGCAAATCTTCTTAACCATTAAACTAACCCTTTAGGGTTGACCAATATATATTTATTAGAAACTAATCCAAACCAATTTAAATCAAGTTGGTTCAATTTAGATTAATTGCCTTAAGTGTAATAATTTTGTTTTCAAACTTATATTACAAACCATTTAAACATTTTATTTTCAATACAATTAATTTTTTTAATTAAAAATTCATCTAATTTTGATTATAAATCTTAATAAATTTATCAAAATACCATTGTCATCTAATTTGGTTCGGGTTTTTCAAGTTGAAGAGTAAACCCAAACCAACCCTACTTAATTTTTTTCTTGGTTTAATTTGATCCAATTTTCTATTTTAGCATCTCAAGACCCGAATTCGTTTGATACGGTTTCATTTCAGATTTTTTTCCCACCCCTAAGTCCCTGACCCATAGTTAGAGTTAGCGATGGACTATGTCGGCCCACGGCACGGCACGATATGACATAAAAATATACGAGTCGTGCCGTAGGCCTTAAAAAAGGTACGTAGGCTGACACGTCACAATATGAAAAAAATAAAATTATAAGAATTTAGAAATTAATGAAAATGTATAATAATTTTTAATTTTAATTTATAAGTTTGTATTTATAATTTATAATTATAACTTATAAGTAATAAAAAGTATTGAAATTTAGTTAATATTTCAATGTCTCGTTATTTTATTATATTTTATAGTGATTATATATTTTTTAAATTAATATAAATATAAAATATCATTAAATATAATATATAATATTTTTTTTATAATAATTATTAATAATAAATCAAAATTACTATAATTTATAAATATTTTTACAAAACATGTAGGTTGACTTATGACACGGTTCATTATAATGAACCGTGTCGTGGGTTTTCAAATTTGGTGGATGGACACAATATGACAAGACACAAATTTTTATGGGCCTTGATATGGCACCGCTTACGACACGATAGACCTTGAATTTGTAAGGCACTGCACGTCACCGCCACTTCTACCAATAGGTAATGGGTAAAGTAATCAGCTTAAAAGCGTCGTCGTTTTCAGAGAAACATAAAAACCAAAGAAAGAAGAAAAGGGTAGCTTTGTAATATAGATAAAAGACAGCCCCTTTTAAACAAAGTACAACATTTTTAAGCAGGATAAAGCCATTCTCTTTTGGCGTCCCTTTGTCTATTTGCTCAGAGTAACTTACCAGTAGAGAGGAAAAAGCTCAGCTCAGCTCAGCAAAAAGTTGAAAACTTTGATTGAAAAATCCATCTTTCTCTTACATTTTTGCATATACATGCTTTGGTAACTCATTCAATTAACTCATCCTTGACTCAATTGAGTCTAACTTCCATGGCTAATAACCCCAACGACCCTCCAACCGATGATTTCCTTGAACAAATCCTCGGCCTTCAGAATTTCGCTTCGGCTGAGTCCGGCTTGTCTGGTCCCGACGCCGGCTTGGGTTCGACGGCTGGAGCTGCCGCGCCGATGATGTTGCAGCTGAGCTCCGGCGACGGCTCCAGCCACCTCTCGGCGCTTGGAGGCGGAGTCAGCGGTGGGTTTCACGGACAGGTGTTTCCTTTAGCGCTGAGCTTGGAGCAGGGTAAAGGAGGGTTTTTAAAGCCTGAGGAAGCTTCGGGAAGTGGAAAACGTTTTCGTGAAGAACTCGTTGATGGTAGAGCTTCTACTGTCAAAAATGTAAGATTCGTTTTTGAATTTTATTTTATTTTATTTTTTAAATAATTAGTAAAAAAATGTTTTTTTAGTGTTTGCGTATGCTGACTTACCTGACACTCAGTTGAATTGCTGAGGGGAGGAGTTTTTTTTTTTTCAGGCTTTTTAGTAGTGATTTATTCATGAATTAAATGTATTTTCATTTTATTTTGGGCATTGTTTACATCTTGTGAGCAGTGAGTTGCTTAGGGGATCAGTCAGACTATTTTTGTTTGGTTGAGTTTTTTCTATTTTTTTCTTCTTCCAATTTTAGTGATGTTTTGTTTGATTGCTGAGAAGACATGGAAAGAAACAACAGCTAGAAACTTGCGGGAGGTTTAGTTTTGGAGGCTACTGCTGTGACTTTTAAGATTCCGGGGCTCTATCAGACAAGGAAAACAATACAAGAAAGACCTGTAGAATCATTGAGAATTGATATAAATCATTTGGAGGGACAACTAAAAACTGTTATATTTTTTGGTTTTTGATTGAGAGTAAAACTTTGTTGTGTCTCCTATTCCTTTTTCTGTAGCAAAAGTAGCTAACCAGAATATCTCTTTTCTCGTAAGACATGGGGCTTTAGTAATGGAAAATGTTGAATTTCTCTCGAATTTATTATTTAGGAGGCCATCAGGGAGATTTCTAGTTGATTTCTTCATTCTTCTTGATTCAAGGGTTTTTCACATTGGAGTGTGTCATTTGGGGTGGATTTGCCTGTTTGTCTGCAGTACTTCATTTTTAAAGGGTTTGATGTTTCCCTGTCCCCAAATTATGCTAGTTGAACATTTGAATTGTATAGGAGAAGTCTATCTCTCATGCACCATGTTTTTTAGCAAAGAAAGTGAAAAAAGATAATGTGGGAAAAAAGATATCTGGAACTGGATATGTTATATTGTTAAAATTCTAATAAAGGAGTGATTTTATGTCTGTAAACAGATTGGGGATGATTTTAATCCCATTTGTAGATTCGGAATTTCTTTGAGGTTTCTCCAGTTCTCTCATGAACTATACTAAAACTGTTCTAGCAAAACTATGATTCAGTGGGAGTGAGGGGTTTCAGAATCGCTCTCCCATTTTCCCGAGGGAGAGAAACCACATGAGATGAGTTACTTTCCAGCTATTGGAAAGATTTGAATTCTGCTTTTTTGCTGTTGTGTTTTTTGTTTCACAAGCATTGTTAATATTGCTTTGTCTATTGTGTCATCCAGTTTCTTATACTCTTCAAATGATATTGATGAGGTTCTTTTGAGCCTATAGTTGTTTCAACATAGAAATGTAAAGGTTACATCTTAGCTGTGCACTCTTCTTCCCTTGGCATCATTGCTATGTTATTGTTGAATGTTGCATTGGTGTGCAGTGTTTTCAATTTTATTGATTAATTTTCAGTTCTTGTTACTTCTTGTCTGTTACTTCCTATAAGAAGCTCTTATATGTATATATATACATATAAAAATTTCCTTTTTTATTGTTTTTAGGTAGGGATGAAATTTTGACTTCTGTAATAAAATTGCTAACCTTTTGCAGGTGTACCATGGCCAACCAATGCCCACACCTGTTCCTGCAGCTCCACATCCTCCAGCAATGCGCCCTAGGGTGCGAGCTAGGAGAGGACAGGCCACAGATCCACACAGCATTGCTGAACGGGTAAGACTATTTTAGTATACCTACAAAACAACTGCAGAATATCTCAAGAACATTGAAGTGGCTGTCAGTTTCTGAGATTGTAAAATAATTGAATGTGTGGTAACTATGGGCATGGGATTAGATCCAATGGATTAAGGTATCTCCATGAGTTGTACATAATCCACTCAAATTGGTTTCCAACTTGACTGGTTTATTTACGCTTATCCATGCATTTTTTCCTCACTCTAGTAATTTGATAATTGTCAATGCTTTCTCCTTTCGGTTCAGCTGCGGAGAGAAAGAATAGCAGAACGGATCAGGGCACTGCAGGAGTTAGTTCCCAGTGTTAACAAGGTGAGTGGGTGTTCTCTATGTCATTTCATGAATCATTTTGCCAACTAGGTTTTGTTTCCCTCCTCTTTTGGTTCAAGCATTCTGCAATTTCATATTTATTTCTTATGTTGGAACTCTATCCCTTAGTTTATGGTCTAGAAGAGAAAAGGGCCAATAACAAATTGTGGTACCCTGCCTGAAACAGTAAAGGAGTTTATGAAATTTATGTTATAACATTATAAGAATTTGGCTCCTTTCTGTTATTATCAGCTCTATCCACTTATAAGTTTTTTCTCTCTGTATCTTGTTCCTTTCCCCTACATTCTTTTCCATTACTGTACTGTAGGTTTTATAATTTTTTTCTCTCTGTATCTTGTTCCTTTCCCCTACATTCTTTTCCATTACTGTACTGTAGGTTTTTGTTAGTCTAAATATCAGAAAGAGTTTTAGCCATCAGATGGTAATGTCACAGCTCAATTGTGTGTTTTAATTGTTCACATTTCTCTGGTCAACGATACAGACTCATACCCATTGATTAGGTGTGTATGAAGCTCATTCTAAATGATTTGTGCAAGTTTCCCACTTCCAAACCTTAAAAGTAGGTTTGACTACTGTTTGTGTGCATCTAGCAACAGTTTTGGAACTTAGCTTTTTCAGAATAATTAGTTGGTTGTCTCCTAGAAATAACATTTGCCTCAAGTCTTTCCTTTGATGCATAAATGCTCTTTGGACTGCAACCATCTGTTTGATAAAATACAGAAAACTTCGCATGCATTTTTGTGGCTTGTTTTCTATTATATACTGGATCCTTTTGTTACTTGTTTCTCTCGTCAATTTGCTTACTGTTATTGAGATCAAATGCTTATCTGGTTGGTTTAGAAATATTTCATCTAGTGATAGACAGGTAGTTGGGGGAAACTGTTATTTTCTTATTATGGTCTGTATAAGCATTGGATCTCTGAGATCTTGATTTTGAACTTTTGACTTAATATTGATCATAATTGTTAACCCAGCCAGAACCATATAATTGTTGTGTCTGGAGAATGGTTGGAGAATTGGTGTTCTGTGGTAGAGTTTTTGGTGAGGCTTTGGTGAAGTTAACGTCTAAGTTTTTCTGAGCATAATTATCATTTCTTCCCCCCTCTAATACTAACGTATTTTTTTTCACTTGGTAGACGGACCGGGCTGCTATGCTTGATGAAATTGTGGATTATGTTAAGTTTCTGAGGCTCCAAGTTAAGGTAAAGTAATCCCATTTTCCTTTTGGGTTCCATAATATATTATTTAAATCCTGGTTGTTTAGTGTACAAATCAAGGGTCTGTATCTTTACTCATAAAGCTTAAGTTTAGACAATTTAAGCTTCAAGTGTTAAGATTTGGCTTCCTCTGTATGCTCTAGTGACTATGTTCTATCTTACTATAGACTCCTTTCTTTTTGCAATAATGTGTGTTGAATTATCTCTGATATGTTTCTTAAAAAAATCTGTTACCTGCCTGACCAATCTGCATTTACCCAAGATTCCTATTTCCGTCTCATCTAAACAAATACCTAATGTCAATTTAGTAGCTTGTAATATTTTAATGGTGGTGTTTCACATGAATTATAGTCATTGCTTTATATGTATTCTACTTGATACTTTTTGAGTAAATCTTTTGTTTGAAATTCTATTCCTAAGGAGCCACTAATATTGGTACACTATGTTTACCGTCACAATTATATAATTACCTCTTTGAACACGGATCAGTCGTTGAGAATAGAATACCTCCACTCCATGTATCACGTTATAGCGTTCCTTTAAAGGTGAATCATGCTTATATTGAGTAGACTAGTCAATGGCTTCTTGTTGGTGTGTGCCCCCACATGCCCTGCCCCCCCGCCCCCCCCCCTCTTTCCGAGAAAACTAAGTCTGACTCGTCTGAGCACCAATGGCAATTTTGGATTGTTTAAAGCTTTTGTTGCTTGGTCTTATTTATCAAATTGACAGGTTTTGAGCATGAGTAGATTGGGCGGAGCTGGTGCAGTGGCTCCACTAGTAACAGATATCCCACTATCATCAGTTGAGGTATTAAACAAATGATTGATTATATATGCAGAGGATAAACAATTGTTTCTTTTCGCATGTCATTTAAAACAGGTTTCTCTTTTTTTAGGATGAGTCTGGTGAAGGTGGAAGAAACCAACCAGCCTGGGAGAAATGGTCAAATGATGGAACAGAAAAGCAGGTAGCAAAGCTGATGGAAGAAAATGTTGGAGCTGCAATGCAGTTTCTTCAATCAAAAGCTCTCTGCATAATGCCAATCTCATTGGCGACGGCGATTTACCATACTCAACCTCCAGATACCTCACCTATTGTCAAGCCAGAGACTAATCCTCCTTCATAGATTTTAAGCAAAAGGGTATTCCCTCCCTCTATGGTCCCATCCAAAAAAGCTCACTAACTTCTCCAGGGTCCCACTCCCACAATTCACATTCCAACCAACCCCACAAAATAAGTTGTTTACTGGCTTCAAATTGCAATCAAAGTCAGATGCCATAGCTCTTTGCTTTTTTTTCTTTTCTTTTGTTCTTCCTTTTCTTTACAGCTTTTGTCAAACAGGGTTTTGATGTCAATGCCTTAAAAAATACGGGCAGGGCCTTGATGTCTTTACCAAGTTCAAGTAAAGAAGAGGAATTGTCAAAGTTCTCAGTTGATATGCTCTGCTTTTTTGCATCAATGGTGGGGATGATAGTGGGAAATGATGGAAGCACAAGCACTTTTGTAGTGGGCCTCTAAATTTTGTTAGTGGAATATGGGACCTTCTAAAAGGGATAGATAAAGTATATAAATTTGTATCAGTGTAATTTAGATGGAATGAATGAATGGAATGAAGAAGAGGTAGAATGGATAATGGTTGGCTGTTTGAAAATTGAGAATTGAAAATTGCTGGGTGTAGTGTTGCAGTCCAATAGAAAATTATATAGTGCTTGCTTTGGTTTAGAGGGCGTGGGTTGTGTTTCAAAAAGTAAAATTTGACTTCTTTATATAATTCTCCCGAATCATTATTGGAGTATAAATCATTAGAGAGAGAATAAGAAAATAATAGTCATTAGTGGGCTGGGCTTAGGTTCAATAATTCATCTCCTAATTGAACTTTGATTGATTTTCTTAATTACGAAATCATTAACAGCATGACCCAAAAGATAAACTTGTTTACTTTTACTTCATACAACATAATTCTCTCTTAAATAAAGCTAAAAGAGGTCATGCTGCTGAATTCTCCCACTGGTTCATTCCATACAAACCTACAAATTGCTTGGTGTTTGGACTTTTTGAAACTAGACCAGCAAGACTGCCTAAAACCCTCAGTGCTGGACTAAAATTTGAGTCAATTTTTCCCGTGGTGTGGGAATGGGAATGGCAATGAGAGGAGTGGAAAATGGGAACGAGAAAAGCAATGGGAACGCGCAGTTGATAAGCAGTTCAGGATGACTGCCTCTTTTTTAGTGTTTGAACATTATACATCACCATCTCTTTTCTAAAGTGGGAGACCAAACATTTAAGATAATAATAATACAGATAAGAGTTCCTCATCGGTCAAAATGATTTATCATCAGACTTTGTTCATCTAGTGGGAGTTACTTTCACATGCTGCGGCAATGTGCAAATTCAACAGACATAATCACTGCAAATTGAGAAAGCCTAAATTTATTTATACGAAAAACCTAAGCCCTTCGACAATGACAGTCATATTAGAGGAGACAATCCCGCTGATCCACATTTTAGTGGTGCTTATAAAATACGTATCATGAAGCATAAAGCCGCGGCAACTCCGAAAATCCGTTCTCTTCTCATCATTGCAAAAGCACATGGGTGTTTTAATGGCAACTATACCACTATCCAGCAATATAACAGGGACAATGGGGCATCCACATTGATAATCCAACTTAAAGTTAAACAAGTCATCTCATAACTTGAAATAAGATGGGAGTTGTATAAAACTGAACAGCTACCAGAAATCAAACTGGCAGGTATAAAAAAATGGTTGAGCTGAACAAATTCAAAGAGCATACAACCTACACAAGCCTGACGACTTCCAAGCTTTGCATTATTGGAGACGCATGTACCCAACTTTAGCAGGCATCAAGATCACGGCATGGAGGAGGTTTTGGTTCACTTAGCAAAGTAGTGTTTCCTCCTTCTGGTCCACCCTTAATGCGATTCGGATTTTGAGTGCCAGGCTGAAATATAGAACGGAAATTATACTATATAGCATTAAAAACAATAAACAAACTCAGAAAACTTACTTTTGAAAACAAAAACAAATAGTTTGCACTAAGTTTCCTTACCGGTAGCTTCTCCCCCCTTCTTAACATCTCAACTATCTCAACAACTCGTTTTGGGGTCACATCTTCCTGCATTTCACAAAAAGATCATCATAAAATTCCCAATACTTCTGATTACTTGTGCAAAAGTACATAATAACTTGGAAAGATCAAAGGGGATATTAATTGGACTGACATAATAATTGTAAGTATATCCTTCTGATCCATTGGAGTAATCGGCCACTGTAATCATAGGAGCATTTACACAACATCCCTGCAGAAAACCAACTCCATCAAAAAAGTACCACTCAATCAAAACAAATCTGACTGGCTAAACTTACAACAAGGGACCTAATATTTCCCTCTAGTTTTAGTAGAATAACATGCATGTGATTGGTGATAAAAGGGTTCCCATGAAAATACTTTTATACCAAGAACAAGTAGCAGTAAGTGTATCAAGCTAACCAGGTAAGCTATAACAACATTAGCTAACAACTAGTTTTTCATAATTTTGCTAAAACAAGAGAAGTTCATAATAATATGCAGGTGAAGACTTACCATGCATTCCATTTCTCCAACGGAAAACAAACCATCTTTTGTTACTTCTGCACATCACAAATAAAACTTGCTCACTCTTCACATGCAAATTAAAATCCACATGGGTTTAGCATGAGGTAAGATGAAAAACATCAAAAGAAGTACGTTGCACAAAACCCACCATTGCGCTTGACTCCCAAGTGTTTCAATAATGCATCTTCAATTTCACGTGAACCACGTATCATACAAGGTGTTGTACCACAAACCAATAAGTGGTACTTGCCCACCTGAAAACCCATTACACATATTCATGCAGGTCAGCTGCAACTTTTTTCATTGCTATGGTTGATGAGATGGCAACAAAATGTAATAAATAAAGATCCTTTCTCACCTTTGTTCGGTTGAACATTGAATAAAATGTAGCAACCTCGTACACACGGATAGGAGCAACTTCTATGACCTTAGCCACCTGTATCATCCATTAAGAAAACATTAATTAAAAAAAAAAAAAAAAAAAAAAGGGAGAGATAGAGACAAGACATTCACGTAGTCTACTACTATGTGCCTCATCTTTGTTAATTAACTCGTTGATACAAATTCCAGAAATTGTTCATCTCTTCAGTTTAGCATTATGTCTCTGCACACAAGTATACTATAGTCTGGCGAGAAATGATATGTGTGTGGATAAAAAATGAGCATACTGAAGTATGGAATTTTCCAATTAAGTGAGGGCAGTTTACCCCAAATCGAACCAATCTAATCCCTTACAAGTTTATGATTCATTTTGAAACAGTATATATATTTCTAGCTACATATAAGATAAATCATATGTAAATACAAAATACACTAGCACAAAAGGCCACAAGAAAATATTTGAAGCTTTGGACAAGCTAATTGTGTTTTCACTTCAACTCATCTGACATGTATGATGAAATCATTAATCTAATTCTTGTTATCAAATTTATCACCAAATTACCAAATGGTTGCAGACACCAACTCAATGATATTGATATATGTACACTCTCATACGAAAAAAATCATGAGACTGCCATATTTTTCTGCCCAACATACCGCATTCATAGCAGAAACAGGAAGCCACCCTCCATGCTGCTGCTGTGCAAGATCTAGCAGAGGAATAACTGCAGATTGCTTGTAATTGGATGGATAGTGAGATAATATCTCCCTAACCTATCAAAACATAAGTTAACATTAGAAACATAGAAATTAAAAGTCATTAAATGTTGCAAGGTAAATCAATGATGCATTAGTTAGAAAAGGTACAGGTAACAGCTTATATGGGGTTAAAAATCATTAAGAAAATCTCAACCATTGTTGAAGTCAACATGAAGAATATTAGAAGAACCTTTACAGGATCACAGGAAAATCAATAAGGCTTCAAGCATCATTAATTTTATCCACCAAAGAATGAAAGAGGCTAATCAATCAGCTTGTCCTAAATTAATGATAAAACTGGTCATTTAAAGTAACTGTTTATTTACACAGACATCAGCTAATGACAAACTAGTTTACACAACATAGCATATAGGCAAAGGGAAAGAAGTTCTTTTCATATAAGCAATACTCCTACAGACTGATAAAAAAGAGAAAGTATCTACACTCCTACAGTATTAGTTGCTTATAAGGTAGAAATCTAAGTGATAGGAAGAGTCAGCTAAAAAGTGATCCAACAGGCTGGACACTGTCAGGTCAGGCAGAGATCAGAGACTTGGTCCTCAACATTGGTTGGGTGTAAGAAAATTCATAGTTCTTCTTCAGTTGGCACATGGCCTTGCAATTTTACACAGTATGAGATGCCTAAAACACCTCAAGTTAATGACTACATAAACTAGACTTTTAGAAGCTGGAAAATCTAAAATTATGATAATGTCCAGAGATCTTTGAAGTTTCAATGTACAATGAAATACACTTATTGATTAAAAGTCAGCAAGCCTTGTATTAATTTTGAAGTTCATGGTAGTCAATCAAACATGGTCAAAATGGCATCTGATCTTACCACAAGTGAGGGTAAAAGGATAGGTCACACGTCCAATACCAATTAAATGTGTGGGTATTATTAACCAAGCCAAAGAAAAAAAAAAAGGTTTGAAGTTCATAAATAAAAAATAACTAAATCATAGCGGTTCGTAGATAACATCCCAGTTGAAATTCCCGCTCTAACAAACATCAAATCTTCTATTAATACCTATACAAGACAACATCACGAAGAAAACACACTCCTGGATTTTAGGATCTAACTAAATCTCTAGTCTTGCTAACTATATGACAAATATTTCCTCAATTACAATTCAGGATTTCAGAGCCATTTTCCAATTCAAAGGCCATACTCATCATATAATTTGAATATTCTATAACACAACAACACCCAAAAAAAAAAAAAAAAAAAAAAAATTGTTGGTAAGTATTCAATAGTTTACAATGCAATTTCACGCAATTAGTGAATCTATTATCCTTCTTCTCTTCCTTTTTTTTTTTTCTCTTTCCTTTTTCGCTATTCTCTTGGAAGAGGGATTCACCCAACAAGCATATATTCTTTTCTATTATGACTACCACTCGATGAGTCAGGCACAGGTGAATAATTTCAATGCACTAAGTAGGATAAATAGGCTACTTTACAATTGATTACTTTATAAGAAAAAAGCCAAGCTTGACAGACACGTAGACAGACCGAATATAAGGAGCTTCACATAATGCATGAACTGGTTTCATAGTAAACCATGCCAAGATTCCAAGCTCTAATACCTGACTCGGCTCTACATTTTTCAGCCCTAAGGATATAATGCCAATACCTCAAGTAAAATGGAATTAACATTTAAACAGTTTGAATAAGCATGTTGATACATAGACTGGCCCCATAATTTTTCGGAATGTTACAAGTGGGAAATAACCACGTTATTCTGGAATTTTAAAGTATCAATAATGTTTACGCAATGTCATAAAATAAGGTAATTTAAGCGAGTGGCGCTAATAATTTTATGTAATACAGTTTAAATATTAAAAAATCGAAATGCTTTCCCTCACCTTTTCTTTTTTTCGCATCAGAGAACCCCATGGAAGGTCGGGATTGTTATCAGGAGAATCAAGGTGCTTCACCAAAAAAAAAAAAAAAATCAATAAACACGAGAGCTAAACCATTTCGATATGATCAATTCACTTATAATTCGAAACTCACGTAGTTCAACGCAGTGGAGAAGGTCGAGATGCCTACACAAACAAAAAGAGAAATAAGATCGAATGACGTGTTTGGATGACCAGAAAATGAGGGAAGAAGGGGAAGATATAGAGAGAAAACCTAGGAGATAGACGGAAAGCTTGACGGATCTCGTGAAGACGCTGAGCACGACACGAGCTAGCATTTTTGAAGAGTTGAAGAGCGAGGCCACAGATTTGGGACTGAGACCATAAAACTGAGAGAAACGACTCAATATCTGATCAGTATGTTCCAATGGTCAGGGATGCGTAGTGCGCACCTGACGTGTGGTAGGCGTGGGCTCTTATGACAACAGTGAGACTTGGGCTTTTTGAAATTATGAGCCCATTTTACACTTGGTTGAGGCCTAAGCCTCTTTGTGAGTTGCAATTCTTTTTTGTAGCTATATTTTAAATAAAATATTAAAAAAAACAATAATATTATACTTATAAAAAATCTTATAAAGGTTTTCATTTATTAAAAATCTTATAAGGTTTCATTTATTAAAAATCTTACAAAGGTTTTCATATAAGTGAGGTGACAAAAAATAAATGAAGAGTAATATAATAAGTTAAAACTTATTATATTTACTCTTCTATTTATTTTTGTCACTCACTTTGTATGAAATCTTTGTAAGATTTATTTGTAAATATAGTATTACTCGTAACAAAAAAAAAAAAAAAGGGTCAAGTTATTGTAATACAAATTTTTGATATAGTTTGTGACACAAGTCTAATAGCTTAAAAATTGTTTAGTTGACATTAAAAATTAACTAACTCTAGCTTCTCATTCAAATCCGTTGGATTACATTGAATCAATAACTATGAATATGTGTCACAAATCTATGTCAAAAATTTGTGTTACAATAGCCTAAGCCAACAATTAATTTAGGGTTTGGATATATATATATAGTCAATTCAATAATCATACTTCCCTGAAATGTGCAGGTTTTATTTAAAGTAAAAATTCCAACCATAAAATCCAATAACTTATCGATTGTACTCTTAATGAAACAACAAATAATATATCACTAATATATAATGCTAGACTCGATAGTCTAACCCGAGCCTAGCATTTAGCAATATACTTTAACAGTTTAATTAAAGCATGCTCGCCCATACTGGACCAGGCTAAACTACACAATCTAGCGTATTATGACTACTTTTGTCCTTGATATATTTTATTAAGGAGAATTAGGTTAAATCATGTAATTTTGTGGTTAAATTTGTCCTTCAAACAAACCCTTAACATTTTAAAAATTAAAATTAGTAGATCTGGGGGAATATTTTAATTAATTTCTGTATATACTTTATGATTTTTCAAAACTACACTTCTTAACAATATTTTTTTCTTTAACTTCAAATGAAAATTGAATTTAATTGGAAAAGATATTTTAAATTAAGTGATGCAATAGCCCCCACCTCTTATCTTAGTTGACCCCAATTATTATTTTCTACTTAATTACAATTTTATCCTTTATAAAATATTACTAAATAAAAGTCAAAAGTATTTTATACATAATTCATTTAGAATAAATCATTTGCTATTAATTTAAAATTTAAGTTTTTTTTTTTTCCTACATCATAAACCCTAGTTTTATTTTGAAATAATCAAAGATAAAATGAGTTAGATCAATAACATATATGCATTAAATTCTTTGGGTTTATTTTATCACATTTTATTGTTTTTAACTTTCAACTGATTTGCATATTTACATAATTTATAAGTTTTTCATTCTTTTTTTCTTTTTAAAGAAAACAAATGTGATGTCAATATGCACAATTGTTTATATACTTGATTGATAGCGAGGCTGACCCCTGTCCCTGTCCCCATCCCCGTCCACGCACTACGGGAAAAAATCCTTTTACTCGCCTCATTCTCGCGGGAGAAACTCCCTTTCTCGTTCCTTGTCCACCAAACCCCATACCAAAAATTTCCTGTACTTTTGAAACATCCAAAGAAAAGGTTTTCACAAACTTAACTGAAACTAGAAACTTAAACAACAAATTTTCTAACTCTCAACATCATCACCCCAAGAAACCATACAAACTATCATGTCATTACATAAGGAAGGTTTTTTTAACATTGCATCATGGAGGATATACTTCCATAGCTTAATAGAGTTGTCATGACTTGTAAACGCCACCATTCATGTCATAAGTGACTGTGCCAATGTTGAGATTATATTGTCATGAGCAATAATTGTCATGCTCTTACTCTCAGCCATGTTCCACGGCTCCAATGACTTATGACTGCATCCAAAAGTTGACAAGGAAATACAAAGTTAGTGATATATCAACGTAAAATGACACACTATCCTATTCCACTTAAACCCTACCGCCACTACAAACCTAACACAACTCCACACACACTATAATATCATCTTCCTGACATTGAAAAATTTCCACAAATACCAAAGCAAATGTGAAGTGGAAATATCAACAGCTAAAGAAAACCATAAACACTGTATTTTTAAACCCATGCCAACTACACACAAGAGTTTTAATAATGATAGAATTTAAGGTAGGCATGACTCCTCACAAATAAGGCCACGTTGAATGGGAGGATTGCCTTATCTTATAAACTAGTGGGCTTGAGCGTGCCTAGTCAGTGTAGGTCTCCAACACTCCTCATGATTAAGCCTAGATGTTGGGTTATGCCTGTTGATAGAGGTAGTTGCTGGTTCTAACTCCTTACCCTCTAGTCATTGATGTAGCATGGGATAGCATAGTAGGAGACACGTAACACCAGAATAGCATGGGGTAAGCATAGACCAACAGGTAAACATCAATGTAGCATGGGATGACTTTTCTTTCATTTTAATTTGTTTTATTCTAAGTTATCATTTTCATTTTTAATCACTATCCAGTAGACTATTTTACTTTTTGTTATTATCAAGTAATTAGAGTCATGACAATAAATAGCCCCTAAGAGCTATGTAATCGGGCATCCCTTATCTAAATAAACAATTGTTATTCTTTATCCTATACTCAGTGCTTGGAATAGTTTTAGGTTATTTTGCTACTGCAAATATCTTGTTTGGTAGCATTTTTCCTCCAACGAATCTCTTCCGCTACGCCATTTGGTATCAGAGCAATGTTTTTCTTTGCTAGTCTAATGGCTGAATCCAACCCAACAATTGTCCAACTCCTTCAAGCAATTCAAGAACAAAACCGAGTGTAGTAAGAGCAACAACAACAAAACCATCATGAGATGATGACATTGTTGTGCAACCTGTATGTTGACAACCCACCCAGACCAAGAACAAATCCCATACAACCTACAGGTACAACTCAGTCCCCTCCACCTAAGGATGACTTATCTGATTCAGACCATGAAAAAGATGTAGGAGCCACGCCATTCCTCAAAATCAGAGTAGATTTTCTGATTTTTACCAGTATACTACATATCAAAGACTTCCTTGATTAGATCTTAGAAGTCGAGAAATATTTTTGAATTGATGAATACCCAGGAAGAATCCCAAGTTAAGTACATGGCATACAAACTTAAAGGAGGAGCCTCTGCATGGTGGAACAAGTCAAAGCAAATTGCAGACAATAGGGAAAATCCCTAATTCGAACTTGGCAATGAATGAAACAATTATTATATGCTCGATTCCTTCCACTCGACTATAAGCAGTACCTATATCAACTTTATCAAAATTGTCAGCAACAATCTCGCTCTGTCTGAGAGTATACCAAGGAGTTTCAAAGACTCTTAGCTCGTAACATCTTGATCGAGATCGATGCATAACAAGTAGCGAGATATATCAATGGCTTGAGAACCAATATCCAAGATCAGGTAGCAATACAGACCATGTGGACATAAGATGAAGCGGTCAATAAGACAATAAAAGCAAAAACCCAACTGAAAAAGTTGAACCATAGAAATAAAATTATCATGGGACAATTGAACACTCAAGAAACCAATTTTTGAGGAAAAAACCTCTTTTAATTGGTCAAACAAGTGGGTTATCAGGCGAGCAAAAACAAACCGAGGGAGGATTAGGAACTATATGACCACATGCTGGATCATCTCAACCAGACAACCAAGCTAGTGCTTCCAAGCGAGCCCAAACTGGCAACCCATATGAATGAAACTACAGAGAAAAAAATGCTTTCGATGTTAGCTAACTGGGCATCTGTCCAACCAATGCCCCAATAGGCGACCAGTCAATGTAGTTGAGAAGGAAGATGAAGGTGAAACACTCGGAGAAGATCAATACATTACTGGACCAGACGATGTCTTGAACGAAGATGTTAACGAATCAGATGGTTGTTCGTACATAGTGCGACATTTAGTACTCACCATTTCGAAGGCAGACAAGGATTCTCAATGGCATAACATCTTTCATACATGATGCAAGATAAAGCAAAATATTTATGATGTCATTATTAATAGTGACAATAGCAAAAATACTGTTTCTCAGGACATTGTCAAGAAGCTACAGTTGGGCACAAGGAAACACCTGACATCATACAACATAGGATGGATCAAATTAGTGGGGAAAATCCAAGTAACCAAGCAATGTGAGGTAGGGATGTTCAAAAGCGGTTAACCGAACCGGTTAACCGCTTTTCTGAACCGAACCGAATTTCCGGTTTGGAAAAATTTTCGAACCGAAACCGAACCGGTTTTAAAGAAAACCGGTTTTTCGGTTAACCGTTTGTGAACCGGTTTTCTATTTTTTTATAAAACTTTTTTTTTTAATTTTATTCTAAATTAAATTGTAAATAACTAAATATAGAAAAATACATATCCAAATAAAAATTAAACATTTATACATATCCATTGACCACTACTAACAATAAATTAAAAATTGATACAAATAAAAGTCCGAAATGAAATAAAAATAAAAGTCCATAATAAAACAACAAAATAAATAAATAAGTCCCAATAGAAAACAACAAAAGAAATTGGGCAAATACAACTCCACAAGTAGAAAGCGGAAACCAACATTAANGCCGAGCTGACTGGTGCAATGAGGAGTTCCCCCTATCCAACAGGGAATTTTTGAGGCTGTCGAGTCTTAGTAACAATATTTTCTAAGTCGTACAGCGTATGGTGGGTAGGGGTGTTCAAAAGCGGTTAACCAGCTTTTCTGAACCGAACCGGTTAACCGTTTTAAAAAAAGTGGTTAACCGTTTGTGAACCAGTTTTCCATTTTTTTATAAAAAATTTTTTTAAATTTTATCCTAAATTAAATTGTAAATAACTAAATATAGACAATACATATCCAAATAAAAATTAAACATTTATACATATCCATTGACCACTACTAGCAATAAATTAAAAATTGATACAAATAAAAGTCCGAAATGAAATAAAAATAAAAGTCCATAATAAAACAACAAAATAAATAAATAAGTCCCAATAGAAAACAACAAAAGAAATTGGGCAAATACAACTCCACAAGTAGAAAGCGGAAACCAACATTAAGTTAATACAAGTAGATCTCCCAATATCTGCCCAAATAAAAATTAAATGTTAGAAGTTTATAAAAATTAAATCATATTTTTTTTCATTGCCTACAATAAAAAACTATTAAAGAAATCAAACCTCAATTAAATGCTGCAAAACCTTCAATCATCAAGATGAATACGAATAGTATTTCCCATTGCTGAAGACACAAATTCTATAAAAAAATAGGTCATATAAATAATGGTTAAATTTAAAATTCAGTTAATAAATCCAATAAAGACAACATAATAACTAATAATTGAAACTAAAGCAAAAACTTTGCCTGACTCAAGCTCTACTATCTCTTCCAAGCTCTCCTCAATCATGAATGGTTCACGTGTAGCCGAACCCAATCTTGTGTGCAAATAAGAGCCTCCACCGTCTTAGGAGTGAGGGAGCTACGAAATGGATCTAATACACGACCCCCAGTGCTAAGCGCTGACTCAGATGTAACTGTAGAAAATGGCATAGCCAACACCTCTCGTGCTATCGAAGAAAGAACTGGATATCTATTTGAATTGACTTTCCACCAACTCAAGATATCAAACATGTCGTCCTTGTGACGCTACTCATATTCATCCTCTAAATATTTATCCATCTCAGATTTGGTTACCGTAACCTCCTGTCCAGCCATTGCCTCATTGTACATACAATACATCAATTCTTTGGGATCAACATTTACATCTTCCACATTAACTTGACTTGCTTGTTGAGACTGTTGACTAGATTGCCCACTTGGAGAACTATAAATGAGCTTGTATTGGTCAAATAAAGAATACAAAGTTGTATGCACTTTTGTCTTCAAAAGTTCAGCATCAGCATCATCATAAGATTTACTAAGAACCCAATTCACATATCCTAACTTGAATCTAAGATCTAACACCACTGCAATGAATAACATTAAGTTGATATTATCAATATTTGACCAATATTTATCATGGTTTCCCTTCATTCTCCTAGCCATAGTACTTAAACCAACATCATTACTTCTAGACCATGTTGAAATCTGCATTCTAATGGCAAAGATCTCACGCATGTATGCATTACTGGTAACAAAAAGTGAGCCTGACATGCGTAGAGTAGCATCATAAAAAACTTTCAAAAAAGGTAACAAGTAACGGGCATACTCCCAATCACTAGGCATAGGCAAACCCCTTGACTTTTCCCCTCTAGTAAGTTCATCTTTATACTTAATGTCTTGGATTTCCAACAACTCAAATGCTTTCTGAAATTTTAAAGCCACATCCAACATTAAGTACGTAGAGTTCCACCTTGTTTCTACGTCAAGAACCAAAAGATTTTTTTGTTCAATCTTTTCTTGCTCTACACCCTCCTTAAACCTTTGTAATCTCGCCGAAGAAGACCTCACATATCTCACTGTAGAGCGAATTCTAAAAATGGAGTCCTCCATGTCTTTTAACCCCTCTTTTACAGTGAGACTCAATATATGTGCACAACACCTCATGTGCAGAAAATCACCACTCAAAACACTACCCTTCCAACTTTCTAACCGGTTCTGGAGATATTTTATTCCAACATCATTAGAACTTGCATTGTCAATGGTAATGGTGAAAACCTTATAAATACCCCAATCAAGAAAACACCTCTCAATTGCCTTACCAATCAATAAACATTTGTGACTAGCAATTGGACAAAAATTTAAGATCTTTTTGTATAATTTCCAATCATCATCAATGAAGTGAGCCATCAAACACATATAGCTAAGGTTTTGGCAAGATGTCCATGTATCTGTGGTAAGACTTACTCTCTTACTAAACTTACTAAAAAAGGCCTTCAACTTATTTCTCTCCTCAACGTAAATATTAAAACAATCTCTAGCCACAATAATACGAGAGGGAACTTGAAATAAAGGTTGTGCATCCTTCATCATATTGCGGAACCCCTCACGTTCTACATGCCTAAAGGGAAACTCATCAACAATTATCATTCTAGCTAGAGATCATCTAAGCCTATCTAGATTGAATTTCCAAGTTGTAAGTGAAGATTGTATGGAGGTGGTAGCAATACCACTTGATTGGTCATTTGATTGTGTCTGTTGAAAAAATAAGATCATTTGTTTCTTATCCATCACATTCAAAGGGTAATTTTTACATCGACTTAAGTGATTCCATAGACAACTAGTACCACTTTTACTTGGAATGCAAGTACATTCCCACAATAATCACATGTTGCTATCCTATCATCCATATTCTCACAAGGATTTACAGTAAAATGATCCCACATGTCAGAAGTATTTTTTCGAGTATTAGAACTTACACGTTTGGGGACTCGTGGTGATCGTGGTCGTGGATCAGGATCCGTAGAAGGCTGTGGGGCTACCAATGAGTTTGAAGTTGGATTCCTACTAGTTGGTGTCTCCGGACTCTCATCAGTATTAGAATGGTCAGCAGCCATGGGGTTAGATTTGGACATCTGCAACATTAACACGAAGATCTTAATGTAAGTGAAAGGACCTTCCTAGCAGTCCATACAACTAGAAAAAAGAACCAAATTTCAAAACAAGCAACATTAAGATGCATTACACATGCATTTCGCCTAAAGAAGAATTTCATTAAATGGTTACATACTTGACTTCAAACCAAGACTATAACAATCTAATTGCTTTTGAACAAATACACACAAAAAAAAATCTAATTTCTTAGTGTTTCTGTATCCAGATCCAGTGAAATGGGAATACTGCCATTATGTTTCCTCTGTCTAGTCTTAAAATCAAGACTTTACAAGTGAATTGATAACACATAAGCCAATATATGATGAAAGACTAAAGAAATTCACGAAATGGGAACCTGAAACTAATGTGTGTATAATTAATAAAATTCCTGTTATATGGCTCGACATGCCACTCATTTCTCTTGCAGGATGTAGAGCAAGTTGAACATCTTACGTCAGGTTCTACCATTTTGGAAATAAGCAATTCAATATTTTTACCCAGAACATATGATCAAGTGAATACAAAGCTATCATGTGTGCATCTTAACTTATTGGCCCACACACCAACTTGAAATCGCAATCCTGCCTTTTCTAGCAAACTAGCTGCAGCTGCAGATTGCAGTATCCTATGTCTTTCCATGGATTCCCTTCACCTACAAAGATTGAATTGATACTTGATGAAAATTAAGGTTTTACTAACTAAAATTTCACATTTCACCTAATTATATCCTCTTACAGCCAGTATAAATACCGTCTTCCTCCTTCGGAATTCATAAAGCAATTGCGTTGTTTTGTTGTAAAAAAAGGCTAGCCACAACGCTTGAAATAAAACAAAGATGATGATGAGACAATCTTTCTTCCCTTCCTAAATTTCTCTTTTATTTTATTCATTTTACAACAGATATGAAATAAAAAAAGGGCTGGGTATGCTCATTAAAGTTAGTGGGCGGCCCTTGACCCAAAATCCCGGGATTTGGAAATCAAATATTCATATTCTAATTTTACCGTCAACAAATTTCCCAAGAAACTAACCAAAATCTCTGTATCATTAATGCTTATGTTGTTAAAAGTGCAATAGCCAAGAAGTAAGAAACCAGATTCAATAGCATAACTGACAAAGTTCTTACAAACAACTCTTTCTGTAAAAAAAAAAAAAATGAAAAAGTTCAGTTTTTTGCTCGCATGACATAAGTAATATGAAACAGCATGTTAGTCAAAACAAGAGCATGGCAGAAAGTGACGTGGGTGGAAAGTGGAAACTGGGAAGTTCTTACCTTGAAATTGTTGCTACGCCTTCGTTTCTTGAGAATGGATGAGTAGAAAAGCTTATTTATAAACTGTGAAGTGACATGGGTGCTTGTTGGAAGAAGGAGAAGGATGATGCAGCTTTGCTGGAGCTGGAAGAAGGAGAAGGATGATGCAGCTTTGCTGGAGCTGGAAGAAGGAGAAGGATGACGTAGCTTTGCTGGATCTAGAAGAAAAATGAAGAAAATCGGGTATTTGTGAACTGAGAAGGGCCTCAGGTGCTTGCTGGAGCTGGAAGAAGGAGAAGGACGTCGCAGCTTTGCTGGATCTGGAAGAAAAATGAAGATAATCGGGAATTTGTGAATTGAGAAGGGAGAGGCAAAGAGCTACAAAAAAATTGGTGCGTTGCGATTTTAGATTTGAGTGAAAATGAATGTGAATTAGGGATAGATTTTTATTTATTTATTTATTTAATATAATATAATATATATATATATAATTTGAAACCCGATTCAGAAAACCAGTTTTCGGTTAACCATTTTTAGTTTTTCCCAAACCGAAAATTCGGTTTTTTAATTTTCCGAACCATAACCAAACCGTTTTTTCGGTTAACCGGTTTTTTGGTTCGATTACCGGTTCGGTTCAGTTTTTTCATTTTTTTGAACACCCCTAGTGGTGGGGCCGAGCAAAGGACATTAGCTGAATGTGTGGATATTTGTGCTCAATAAAAATCATTACCCTTCCTTTTGGAACCCTTACGATGCTTAGATGGGTCGGCTCTNTTTTCCCGAACCGGTAACCGAACCGAAAATTCGGTTTTTTTAATTTTTCGAACCGTAACCGAACCGTTTTTTCGGTTAACCGGTTTTTCGGTTCGGTTTGGTTTTTGCATTTTTTTGAACACCCCTAGTTTGTAGACGAAGGATGGTTTGGAAGAATCAACAAACCCCTCTGGTTGAGACATATACACATACTTGGTGAGGTCGCCATTAAGGAAGGCATTGTTAACATCGACTTGTTGCACTTCCCATCCATTATAGACAACAAGGGAGAGTATAACTCGAATAGTGGAAGCTTTAATAACAAGAGAAAACGTCTCAAAATAATCAATGCCAGGAGCCTGATGAAAATCTTTCACGACAAGCCGCACTTAATACCATTGAAGACTTCCATCAGCATTTAACTTGACCTTAAAGACCCATTTACTCCCAACTAAGGTCATCTTGTCTGTATATGGGACTAAAGTCCACGTATGATTGGCTTGTAGTGCATTAAACTCGGCTTTCATGGCTTTGAGCCAAAGAGGACGCTAAAGCGCATTTGCAACAAAGGAAGGTTCTGTATGATTTTTTGGAAGGATGGAACTAATGAGGGCTTTTGCTTTATGTCTAGTTATCATGGGATGGACATTTTGAGTGGGATGATGAGATGAAGAAAATGAAGGTGAAGGTGCTGTAGTATGATAACCCCGAAGGTCAACCTCTAGCTAAAAGGAGGGAGGGTGCGGGGAGGTGCTGATGACAGGTGTTGTGGAGGTAACATAATTAGGAGCAATAGATGTAGCGGAGGATGGTGATAATCAAGAGGAATCTGGCACATATTGTTTTAGAGAAGAAAAATCAACTAGAATTTTCCAAGGTTGCGGACAGTTGGTGGCTGTGGTGGGAGAAGTTGTAAGACACAAATATCCCTTATGATGTGAGCTATACCTTGTAAACCCCGCGTTATTATTCCGATGTCCTAAGTTATGAAATTTACCTTTTCAAGTAATTTTCTTTTTTTGAATGGAAGGGTAAAATGGTCAATTTACATGTATTTCGAGATGTGGCCATTATAAAGTGTAAGGGGTGATTTCATTGAAGAGAAATAAGGGTAGAATGGTCATAAAGTTGATTGATATGGTTAAATGGCATAAACGGTAACCAAGGGTATAATGGTCTTTTCATACAAATCCATATGAAATAAGTATCCACAAAAGTACACCAAGGGTAAATTAGTCATTTACCTAATGAGATTGCTTAATTGTTAAGTGTTTTAAAGAAGTCAAATGGCATTAAATGAGTGCTAATCATTATGTTGTGGTAGAAATGACCAAAACGCCCTTATATAAAAAATTTATGCTAAATGACCCTTGTATCTAACTTTTATTGACCAATCACATTAGAGTAACAATGGAATAAATATTTGCATGGTTTTAAGAGAGAGTAGTCGGCCTTGTACACCCCAAATATATTATCTTCTTCTTCATCTCTCAAATCCACCATAAAAGCCACTAATCCAAGCATTTTATTCTCAAATTTTCTCAGGATTTCAAGTTGTTTTTCAAAGGAGATCACCATCCACACTTAAAGAACTTCAATTTCAGGGTTTAAGGTGAGTTTCAAAACCCTATTTTTTCTGATCTTTTAGTTAAAAGAGAAATTCATAAGTGATTATGTGTGTAAGGTAGAAAGGGTAAACTTTTGGAGCTAAGGGGGAGTGTCCTTGTGCTTTGAATACTAAGGTAAGGAAAAAATCTCCGTTATGACTACAATTGATAACACCTAGGGTTTATGACACTTACATTTATTTATGTTAATATGAGTGTGAGGCTATGTTTTGGTTATAGACTGTTTAAATGGGTGTATTGATTGGTGTATGTGTGCATATGGAGGATGATTATGCCAATTAAGAGATTTGTAGTTGGACGATGTTTTGGCACTTTTTGGTTCTGTAAAAAGGAGGTTTTTATGGCATTTTATACTTAGAATGACATGGCAAATGATATGAATGTGCAAATGATGGTGACATGGTTAAAATGAATAGAATTCGGATTTGGCTTTTTGAGACTTATAGTGTACATGCTTCACTGAATCAGTCATAACTGAAGTTATAGAAGTCTGATTGTGTTGATTCTTGAAGTTTTAAAAATTTGAGAAACATACCTAAAACTTTTATGTTTTAGCTAAAAATCAATTCGAATTGGAAGATAAGAGAAAAATTGTTTGAAAAGTGATGAACTATATGGCATCCACATTCTTAATGGAAATTCCCATTTGTTTCTAATTCTAATAAACCCCTGAATAATCCTACCACTGAAATTCCTTGTATTGTATGAGAAATTGAATGAACTAAGTTAAGAAGTTTAGGAGGAGAATATAGTATGATTGAGCATGGGAGATGTTAGTCCATATGTTTGCATTCATAATGGTAATGCATATAGCTTATTTAGTTGTATTATGAAAAATTTATGAAATGTTAAACTCTTGAGGTATAAACCAATATCAGAGAAATGGAATTCTTATGGAAACCATGAGTCCTTTGAGGTGACGACCAAGAACAAGGTAATGGTTCAAATGAATCCGATCGGATAACAAAGACTAATGAAACCATCAAGTATAAAGACAAAAGAAATAAGCATGCCATGTACATGAATATTTCATAAGTAATATATGTTCTATGTTATATTATGTATGATTATGTTATGACTTATGTTCATGAGAAAAGTCCAAAGTGTATGATATGTTTTATGAACTTGTTATGTTAAAGAATGAAGGTCATATTTTGTAGGTAGGTAAGGTCCTAAGTAATATACTTGTAAAATGATGTATAATGAACCTTAATAGTTTATAAATGGCCATATTCCTTACTGAGCGATTAGCGCTCACCCCACGAAATGTTTTAAAATGTTTTGCAGGTACGGATTAAGGCATGAAGCTGGGAGAGGATTCCAAGGGACGCTATGAGCAT